TGAGGAAAGCACTGAGGGGTTGCAGGGGAGGCGGAGGCCGCCATCTTGTCATGGCAGCCATCTTGTCCTGTTGGCCATCTTGTCCTGGTGGCCGTCTTGTCCTGTCAGCCATGTTTTCTTGGATGCCATCTTGTCCTGGTGGCCGTCTTGTCCTGTCAGCCATCTCTTCTTGGATGCCATCTTGTCCTGGTGGTCATCTTGTCCTGTTGGCCATCTTGTCCTGGCAGCCATCTTGTCCCAGCAACCATCTTATCCCGGCAGCCATCTTGCTGTGGCAGCCATCTTGTCCCGACGGCCTCCTCTTTCCCCCTCGGCAGGAGGAAGAGGCCCTGCTGTCGGAGATGGACGTGACAGGTCAAGCCTTCGAGGACATGCAGGAGCAGAACCTGAGGCTGCTGCAGCAGCTGCGGGAGAAGGACGACGCCAACTTCAAGCTGATGTCGGAGCGCATCAAAGCCAACCAGATCCACAAACTGCTGCGCGAGGAGAAGGACGAGCTGGCCGAGCAGGTCCTGGCCCTCAAGGCCCAGGTGGGACGCGGGGTCGTCATAGGGAGGGTGGAGGGGGGATCTGTGGGTTCTGGGGGGAGGCAGAGAAGGACCTGGAATGTGTTGGGGGACCTATAACGTGTTGGGGGACCTAAAACAGATGACTTAGAACGTGTTGAGGGACCTAGAGCGTGTTGGAGGACCTAGAACGTGTTGGGGGACCTTGAACGTGATGGGGGACCTAGAACGTGTTGGGGGACCTAGAACAGATGACTTAGAATGTGTTGGAGGACCTAGAGCGTGTTGGAGGACCAAGAACATGATGGGGGACCTAGAATGTGTTGGAGGATCTAGAACGTGTTGGGGGGTGTAGAACGTGTTAGGGGACCTAAGATATCTTGGGGGACCTAGAACGTGTTGAGGGACCTAGAACATGTTGAAGGATCTAGAATGTGTTGGGGGACTGAAATCATGTTGGGGGATCTTGAATGTGTTGGAGAACCTCGAACGTGTTGGGGAACCCAGAACACGTTGGGGAACCTAAAATACGTTGGGAGACCTGGAATATGCTGTAGCACCTAGAACACATTGTAGGTCACAGAATCACAGAACCATAGAATCACAAAATTGTAGGGGTTGGAAGGGATCTCCAGAGATCATCAATTCCAACCCCCTAGGATGTGTTGTAGGACCTAGAATGCGTTGGGGGACCTGGAACGCTTTGGGGGACCTAGAATACGTTGGGGGGCCCAGAACGTGTTGGAGGGTGTGAAACGTGTTGGGGGACCTAGAACGTGTTGGGGGACCTAGAATGCATTGGGGACCTCAAACTTGGAGGAGGACATGGAGCCTGGAGGGGGGCCTAGAACTTGGAGATGGACGTAGATCCTGGAGAACCTAGAACCCCTAGGAGAACCTGGGACCTGTTGGAGAACCTGGATCCCGTAGAAAAACCTAGATCTGGTAGTAAAACCTAGATCCTGTGGGGGGAACTCGAACCCACAGGAGGACCTAGAAGCCGTAGGAGGACCAAGAATATGCTGGATGATCTAGAACCCATGGGAGGGTGTAGAATCCATGGGGGGATCCAGAGTCTGTAGGAAATCTTGTAAAAGGATCTAGAACCTGTAGGAGGACCTAGATCCCCTTGGAATATTTAAATCCACTAGGAGATCCTGTAGCAGAATCTAGATTCTTAATGGGACCGAGACCCCACGGGAGGACCTAGAACCTGTTGGAAGATTTAGAACCCATGGAAGGATTTAGATTCTGTAGGAGAACCTGCAACAGAACATAGATCCTGTAGGAGGACCTAGAACCCATGGGAGGGTATGGAACCCATGGGAGGACCTAGGAGATCCTGTAGGAGGACCTAGAACCCCTAGGAAAACCTAGAACCTGCTAGAAAATCTAGAACCCACTGGAGGATCTGGATTCTGTAAGAGATCCTGTAGCCGTATGTAGGTTCTGTAGAAAAATCTAGAGCCTCGTGGAAGGACCTAGAACTTCTAGGAGAAACTAGAACCCGTGGGAAGGTCTAGAACGCTTGGAAAGATCTAGATTCTGTAGGAGATCCTGTAGCAGAACGTAGATCCTGTAGGAAGATCTAGACCCCACAGGACAACCTAGATCCTGTGGCGGGACCTAGAATTTCTAGGGGGACCTAGAGCCCCCATAGGAGGACCTGGATCCCTCATAGGAAGACCTAGAACGTGTGGGAGGATCTAGCTTCTGTAAGAGACCCTGTAGCAGAACGTAGATCCTGTAGGAGGACCTAGATCCTACAGAAGGACCTGTATCTTTTGGGGGGATATCTAGAACCCGTGGGAGGGTTCTACACCCTCCACAGAATGTAGATTGTGTAAGAGATCCTGTAGCAGAACTTAGGTCCTGTAGGAGGACCTAGAACTCCTAGCAGAAACCAGGCCCCGCAGCAGGACCTAGACCTCCCCAAAGGAGCACTTAGAACCCCAAGGAGGACCTAGGACCCCCATAGGAGCACCTAGAACTCTCATAGGAACGGCTAGAAGCCCTAGAAGTGCATAGATAGCAGACCTTGGATCCTACAGGGGAACCTAGAACACCCATAAGAGGACCTAGAACCCCCTAGGAGGACCTAGAACCCCAAGAAGAGCCTGGAACCCCTAGGAGAACCTAGAGCCCCTACAAGAACATAAACTTGGTAGCTGACCCTGGTTCCTACAAGGGAACGTAGACCCCACAGGAGAGTCTAGACCCTCCATAGGAGAACCTAGAACCCCCTAGGAGGACCTAGAACCCCAAGAAGAGCCTGGAACGCATAGGAGAACCTAGAATCCCTAGAAGGACACAGACTTGGTAGCAGAGCTAGGATCCTACAAGAGCACGTAGACCCCACAAGACGATCTAGACCCTCCATAGGAGAACCTAGAACCCCCTAGAAGGATCTAGAACCCCAAGGAGAACCTGGAACCCATAGGAGAACCTAGAATCCCTAGAAGGACACAGACTTGGTAGCAGAGCCTGGATCCTACAAGGGAACGTAGACCCCACAGGAGGATCTAGACCCTCCATAGGAGAACCTAGAACCCCCTAGGGGAACCCAGAACCCCCCCTAGGAGGACCTAGAACCCCAAGAAGAATTTGAAACTCAAAGGAGAACCTAGAATCCCTAGAAGGACACAGACTGGGTAGCAAAGCCAGGATCCTACAAGCGCACGTAGACCCCACAAGAGGATTTAGAACCCCCATAGGAGAACCTAGAACCCCCTAGGAGAACCTAGAACCCCAGGACACCCCCCCACACACCCCCCCAGGTGGACGCCCAGCTGCTGGTGGTGCAGAAGCTGGAGGAGAAGGAGCGGGTGCTGCAGGGCAGCCTGGCTGCAGTGGAGAAGGAGCTGGCGCTCAGGTCGCAGGCGCTGGAGCTCAACAAGAGGAAGGTAGGGGGGGCAGGGGGGGGGGCTT